CCCCGGCCTCCGGGCTTCCAGTGCGCAGGGCCACAGGTTTCGAAGCCCGGCACCACCGCTGCTGGCGGACAGAGGAGGCCAAGGGTCCCAGAGGACCTGGGTGGGAGATCTCACCGCCACCCAGCAACAGAGCTCTGTTCAAACCTAGGTCTGTTGCACCAAATTCTGAACCCCATTTACCCAACACACCCCACCCCTGTCCCTGTGCCCACGATGATACCCAGTCAGGCAAATCACAGTTTGTCAGCAATCTGGTTAGCTGGGCAACTGGATCCTCCTTAGGACTGTGTTCCCGCACCTGCAAATTTAAGTTGATGCAAAACTTTGGTCGTCATCTACAGAACTGCCCGGGGAGCTCCTGAGCACTAGCCGTACTCCCCAACCTGGTCTCCCTTGTCACCTGAAAGGACCCAGCAGCCCAAAGTACCCAGCCACCTTAGCTCAAAAACTGGAAGAAAGGAATTTTGAAGCAAAAACATTTAGCCTAGAAAAAAACAAACAAAAAAAAACCACCGTTAATTTGCTGAGCTGAACCTGACAGCCAAAGCTCCTATAGCAAACCCAACTCTGAGAGAACCATCATCCTTGCTAGCCTGTATGCTTTTCTTCCTAATACTTGCCTTATTCAGCAGACACAGCAGAAAGAAGGTAAGACCTTACCCCAAATATCAGAGTTTTGAATTTAAACTAAGCCAAAGAGAAAGGCATAAGCTATGTAAGGACCTAAAAAATGAAATAGTTTATCTTTTTTGTTAGGTTATTCAGCTGCTCCTTACGATTTAATGATATTGCTAGAGTGTGCATCGCAAGGTGCTCATCACTGCTGTGACTACAGTTGGGGCTGAGAAGCAGCCCAGGCCCGCACAGTTTGAGTTAGCAGATGTGAGTTGCATATAATTGTTTTCTTGACTGCTGTATGTTTTTTCTTCCTACGATGACTCAGTCTTATAGTTGGGAACTGCAGCTATTGTCAAACCCTGATTGTAAACACAAAAATAGAGGACAGCATTGGAATCCAGTGTTACTGGTGATCTTGGAGTTTTGGGTTCAGAATCTTAGTGATGGATTTAGCCTGGTTCCAAAGGATATTTTTCTTGGCTGACTGGTCTTATCTTCTAATAAAACCACTCTATTGCCTTTTTGCCCCTTCCCATCCATTATTTCCAACGAACTCATAGTTAATCTCTATGGTACATGGAGAGGGATGGGGCCAGGGAAACTGAAGCAAGGTGGGTGTTCAGGGAATAATTACAGCGATTAAAAATAAACAGATTACTCAAACTGAAATTGCCACAGAGACAATGTGGGAAAGTAACTGAAAAATTTTAAGGCAAGTTTCTATGGTGTGTATTTTTCTTCTCAAACATAGACACCACTCTTGCTAATTTGGTGATCAGAATTCCTAAAAAGCTTTGGTCATTTTTCAAATTGAGAAAGCATTAACAATTGTCCCCAAAGCATAGTTCTAAGCTGGATAATAGCTCTTTCTTTTAAACAGCTTTATTGGAATATAACTAATATACAATAAATTGTACATTTTTAAAGTGTACAATTTGATACATTTTGACATATGTATACATCCCTAAAACCATTCCCACAATTAAGATAGTATTCATATCCATCACCCCCAGAAGTTGTTTAGGCCCCTTTTTAGTCCCTTCTTCCACTCTTCCTCACCTCCTCCACCATCCCCTGCTTTCTGTCACTATAGATTAGTTTGTACTTCCTAAATTATTGTATAAATGGAACCACACAATACGTATTCTTTTATTGTCTGGCTTCTTTCATTCAGCATAATTATTTTGAGAGTCATCCATATTGTTTTATCAGTAGTACATTTTTATTGGTAAGTAGCATTTCATTTTATGGACATACTACAATGTATTTAACCATTCATCTGTTGAGGGACATTGTTTCATTTTTTGCTATTACAAATAAAGCTGTTATAACTATTTGTATACAAGTCCTTATAAGGATAAAATATTTTCCATTCTCTTAACTCCTAAAGGTGAAATGGCTGCATCATATGGTAGGAGTATTTAGTTTTTTAAAAAATTGTCAAACATCTTTCCAAAATGATTAAACCATTTTGCATCCCTACCAACAATATATGAGAGTTCCAGTTCCTCCATATTGTTGCCAACATTTGGTATGGTCAACCTCCTCAATTTTAGCATTTCAGTAGGCATACAGAGGATAATCACTGTGGTTTTACCTTGTATTTTCCTAAAGGCTAATATTGAACACCTTTTTAAAAGTCTTTATTCTTTTAGAGAAGTTTTAGGTGCAGTAGAAAGTATAGAGGGCCCCCATATACTGATCCCACACACATAACCTCCCCTACTACCAACATCCCAGAGTGGCACATTTCTTGCAATCAGTGAACCTGCACTGACACATCATTATCACCCAATGTCTATAATTTACGTTAGGGTTCACTTTTTAAAAAAAATCTTCACCCAAGGATATTTTTCCATTGATTTTTAGGGAGAGTATAAGAGAGGGAAAGACAGAGAGAAACATCGATATGAGAGAACCACAATTGGTTGCCTCCTGCAGGAGCCCCGACCAGGACCAGGGCCCAAGTCAGGAGGAGCCTGAAACCAAGATACATGCCCTTGACCAGAATTGAACCTGGGACCCTTTGGTCGACACTCTATCCACTGAGCCAAACTGGCTAGGGCCATTAAGGTTCACTCTTGATGTTATGCAAATATATGACTAGAGGCCTGGTGCACAAAATTCGTGCACAGCTAGGGTCCGTAGGCCTGGCCAGCGATCAGGGCCAATCGGGACCTTCCGGCTGCCAGCCTATGCCTTCCGACTGCTGGCTGGGACCTTTCTTCCCCGGCCAGGGCCTTCCTTCATTCCGCACTGCCCCCTGATGGTCAGTGCACATCATAGCGAGTGATCAAACTCCAGGTCAAACTCCTGAGGAGACACTTTGCATATTAGCCTTTTATATATATAGATTTTGACCAATGTATAATTACATATGCCCATCAGAATAACATTATGCAGAAGTTTTACTCTGCTACATCTATCCAATCTCTCCCTCTCCCAACCCCTGACCTTTGTACTGTAACCATAATTTTGCCTTTTCCAGAATGTTGTATGGAGTCTTTTCAGATTGGCGTCTTTCACTTAGTAATATGCGTTTAAGTCCCTCCATGTCTTCTCTTGACTTGATAGTTTATTTCTCTTAGTGGTAATATCCTGTTGTCTAGATGTACCAGTTTTTTCATTCACTTACTGAAGGGACATCTTGGTTGCTTCCAAGTTTTGGTAACCTTGAATAAAGCTGCTGTAAACATCTGTGTGTAGGTTTTTGTGTAGACACATGTTTTCAACTCATTTCAACAGATATACTAAGGATCATGATTGCTGGATCATATTCTAAGAGTATGTTTAGTTTTGTAAAAAAATATAGCCAAACTGCCTTTCGAATTGATGTGCTTTTTGCATTCCACTAGCAGTAAATGAGTTGTTCTTCCACATTCTCACCAGCACTTGGTATTACCAGTGTTTTGAATTTTTGCATTCTAATAGGTATGTAGTGGTATGTTTTAATCTGCAATTCCCTGATGACATATGATGTAGACCATCTTTTCACATACTTACTTGCCATCTGTCTATCTTCTTGGTGGTGAAGTGTCTGTCTTTGGCCCATTTTTAAATTGTATTATTTCTTATTGTTGCATTTAGAATTTTTTTTTGTATATTTTGGATAATAGCATGCTATGGTCTGAATGTTTGTCTCCCCCCACCCCCAATTTCCATGATGGTATTAGGAGGTGGAGCTTTTTAGAGATGATTACATCATGAGGGTGGAGCCCTCATGATTGAGATTAGTGCCCTTTGAAAAGAGCCCTGCAGAGCTCCCTAGCCCAGTGGTCGGCAAACTCATTAGTCAACAGAGCCAAATATCAACAGTACGATTGAAATTTCTTTTGAGAGCCAAATTTTTTTAACTTAAACTATATAGGTAGGTACACTGTTATTAACTTAATTAGGGTACTCCTAAGGCTTAGGAAGAGCCACACTCAAGGGGCCAAAGAGCCGCATGTGGCTCACGAGCCGCAGTTTGCCGACCACGGCCCTAGCTCCTTCTCCCTCAGAAGGCCCTGACCTGACCATGTTGGCACCTTGATCTGACCTTCCCACCCTGCAGAACTATGAAAAATGTTTGTTTATAAGCCCCCCAGTTTATGGTATTTTTGTTAGAGCAGCCCAAAGAGACTAAAAAATAATCAGATTTTTTATATTTTCTCTTGTTTATGGCTTGTCTTCTCATTCTCTTGATGAACACTATAAGTGCTTATTTGCCATCATTATGTCTTCTTTGGTGAAGTGTATATTCAAATCTTGGTAAAAAGAACTGTTAAATAAGGATCATTAGTAAATAAATAAACAAACAAACAAACAAACAAACAAACTAATAATTCAAAAGTAATTTTTCTCACCATAAGTAAACAGTTGTTGTTTTTGGTGTGTATTTTTTAATCCTCACTAGAGGATTTTTTTTTCCCCCCATTGATTTTTAGAGAGAGTGGGAGAGAGGGGAGACACATCAATTGATTGCCTCCTGTATGGGCCAGGGGGCCAGGGATCAAGCCTGCAACTGAGGAATGTGTCCTTAACCAGATTCTAAAACGAGTTCTTCAGTGCTCAGGTTGACACTCTAACCACTTAGCAAAACTGGCTAGGGTGGTAAACAAGTTTTTGACATTTTTACTATGTGTTAGATGCTGGACCAGACACTTTGTGGGATACAACTGTGACTAAGGAGGACATAAGAAACTAAACATCTAGTCTATAATAATAAAAGTATAATACGCTAATTAGACTGGACAGCCAAATGACCTTCCAGACGAAGCAGTGGCAGCGGGGGCAGAGGCAGAAGCGGTTAGGAGTGATTAGGCAGGCAGGCGAGCAGTTAGGGGTGATCAGGCAGGCAGGCAGGTGAGTGGTTAGGGGCGTGAGGCAGAGTGGTTAGGGGCGATGACAGTTAGGAGTGATCAGGAAGGCAGGCAGAGTAGTTAGGGGCGATGAGGCAGGCAGGCAGAGTGGTTAGGGGCAATCAGGCAGGCAGGTGAGCAGTTAGGGGCATCAAGCAGGCAGGCAGAGGCAGTTAGGGACAATCAAACAGGCAGGCAAGCAGTTAGGGGCAATGAGGCAGGCAGGCGAGTGGTTAGGAGCCAGCGGTCCCAGATTACTAGAGGGTGCAGGCCAGGCTGAGAGACCCCTCCCACCCCCATACACAAATTTTGTGCACCGGGCCTCTAGTAGGATAATAGGACACATGCATAAGTAGCATAATACAAGGTAAGTTGTCAAGGAAAATAATACAGATTGAAAATGCTATCAGATATTCTGGTGATAATGAGAAGTCAGCACAACTTCATGGAAAAGTAGCTGCTGAGATAGCTCTGGACAAATAAGGATCAGAATTATGGGGGGAACAGAAGGAGCAAAACACAGAGGTGGGTAGGAGCAGGTTTGGGCAATGCCTGTATAATTCTGGCTCCTGGCCTCAGGTCTATTCTTGTCCTGACTTATTTTACCAATTTCTCCTCCTTCTTGTGCTTGGAGCACTTTACTCTCTTGTCGTCTCTCTCCTCCCATTTGCCTAGCCAATTCATAATTGTGACTGGGCTTTTGCTTTCTATGCAAAGCCTTCCCAGACCATCTTTGCCTTCAAACTTGGGCTCTGTATCACTATCTCATGGCATGCTGAAACTTCGTATGTTTATCACACCTGCAGTTAAGAATTACATAGATTAAGGGTTTAACATCTACTTTACCGGATTATACCTTCCATGGAAATACAGGGACTTTTTTCTGTCTTGTTAAAGCAAATTAATAGCTTAATCCATATAGATTTCAATAAGTTAAAGAAATTTCATAGAAGACATAGTATGTATGTGCTAACATAAGTACAAACATCTTCCTTAGTGAAGGATTAAAAAAGTAGAAATTATACAAAACAACCAACCATAAAAGTACACAAAGGAATGCTAAAATAGAAATCTCCATAATCTTCAAAGTCCTTGATTTTAATAGCACCTTCCATTTTATTTATTTATATTTTAAAATGTTTTTATTAATTTTTAGAGAGAGATTGAGAGAAATATCGATTGGCTACCTCCTGCACAGCCCCTACTAGAAATTAAGCCTGCAACTTGGCATGTGCCCTGACCAGGAATTGACCTCTTGGTTCATGGGTCGATGCTCAACCACTGAGCCACACCAGCGGGACGCACCTTCCATTTTAGATATTAGAGTGTCTTTATACTTTTACTTTTAAATAAGAGAACATTTATTTATAAAATCACAGAGGAAGAAGAAGCAATTTGTATAAGAAATGATCTTAGGAACAAGTTATAGAGGCAAAGGAAGGGCCCTAGGAGCTTGGGCATGAGGAAGGTAATGGTAAAGTGCCCTGGCGGGGAAGGGAAAGGGACAGGGATAGGGACAGGGAATGGTGTGGGCATGCTCCTGAAAGTACCTATACTTTTACTTTTTTAGTCACATGCAAGATTGTTTACTCAAAGTTTAAGCTAAACATAAAATATGCCCAATATTTGAATTTAATACCTAATCAATATTCACTTACTATCTTACCTTTAATACCTAGTCAATATTCACTTACTTTCATAAGACTTTCTAGGCCCAAATAAAAGAATTTTAACAGTGTCCATATACCCAATGAATATATAATTTTGCTCTCTGTAACAAGGTCCCAATACTTCACTACCAGATTTATATCAATTAGAAGGGACAATATCCAAGCTGATAACTAGTTATCTCAGATTTAATGAATTGGTACTCAAGGAAATCGTTAAAATATCTAATGTCTGAATCTAAGGTTGCCTCCTTCTTCCAACTGGATTTGAATGACACACTTTTCTCAATTTTATAATTAAGTTTTAGAAAAATTTTATTGTGAAAACTGAAGAATATATTGAATATGCTTTGTTTTCTGAAGTCTGATTTTCCAACTATAAGTTACTAGCACTTAGGAAAACAACAATCACTTCAATGAAAATTAAATATATAAAGCCTATGTTTAAAACATGGCCTTTATTAATACTGCCCACTAAGCTCCATTTTTATTTTACATTGAAATACTTCTGCTTTGCAAAGAAAAGACAGAGAAGTGCATTTTACAAGAGTACTTTTTTGTTTTTAATTTTTTGTGAAAATGGAAGGAATCTGAATCACAAGTTCACAATGTGGTAAAATGAAATTAAGAAACAATTATTTTAGTAATGCTATGCCATCACTAGTGTTTGGCTCTGACTTGGTTGTTGTAAATCAGATCCTGATATACAGTCTAGAGCATCTAGGTTATTACTCTACAGCATATTAAACACAGATAAGGAAGTTTAAAAAAAAACCCTTTCAATGTACAAACATGAATTTAAAAACTGATTTTAAAAAATCACGTTTT